TCCTCAGATATTATATATTTATGTACTATGTTTCTGGTGAGTCTTGCCTCTAGCTACTTTCCCTTGACACATCAATATGTCCCACAAGTTTTACAAGCCTACTTGTCTTCCAGCTCATCATTCTGCTGCTCTTTCTTCATTCATGGGCTGGGAATTTTATTAACCAACCCATTTCTCCTGAAACCTTTGCTTACAACTCAGGTTCATTGCTGCAGTGTTTCAAGGCATTGCACTGTGCAATGTAGGCTCAACAGGCAGACATTAGATCATTATTCACATGTAAAAATATTCAAGTACATGGAATTTCAAGAGTTTAAGGTGGCTGCAAGACCTATGCAATCTGTTCTCAAGTAGACACTTAATTACAGGAAACTCTCCAGATGTAATACACAGAAGTGAGGCATTTATTCTTCATAGTTTATTGTTTAAATGTCATAAATACATATATAGATATAGATATAGATAAAGAATAACTAAGGAAAGTAAAATCTATTTTGAAAATCAGGGCTTGTCCACTAGATTTGGCCTAACTGTACAAAGGGCTGGGCCTGAGAGGAGGCAGAGATTTTCTTCCTCAGACTCATCAGAGCCATATCAATTTCTTGAAAAATTTAATAAGGTAACTTTTTTTCTCCCAGTTAGCACCAAATTACAAAGATTTTTTTGTGACTTTTGCAACGTACTGTTCCTGAAGCAATAACTTTTCCCATTTGCTCCCACCTTCTATATACTCCTCAACACTTGAATTTAAATTTCATATACAGCTGATTTAAATCAAGATATGTATCTCAGCAAAGGCACAGAGGCACAGAGAAGCCAGTCATGCATTTGTTGCATGTCTTTCACATTAAGCTGTACCAATTCTTCTGAACATTTCTGTCCTGTGTGTTCCTGTCTCCAGTTCAGTACAGCAGCTCATATCTCAGGGCCCAGTGTCTGCACACATCCAAACAGACCTTTAGGACATGGACAAAAATGCACTATCTCAAAGCAAAGCAGTTCCTCTAGGATGCTGAGCTGTACAAAAGTGCAAGCAGAGCCACCCCTCTGAGGATCCTCTGCCCTTCCTCCTGGCTGCTCAGGTAACTCCTCTAGGCCACACATCACTCCTCCATCTGTGGAGCTTGGTTTCCTAGAGAATCTGGAGGAAAAAAGCTCTTGTTTGGGCACAACTGCTGTCCTTGGCACCAAGGAACACACTCCTTTCCCATTCCCAGCCAACTGTTCTCCTGCTGAGCCAATGACTTAGCCTGACCTTGTGTCCCATATTCTGCCTTGTGCGGGAATTATCTCCCTCCCTCAAGACCCTCCTGTTTGTAAACTTCCTTGGGAACTGTAGAACTAATCAAAATTATAAATGTTGTATTAAGTAGCCCTTCACTCTGATGAATTTCAATACTGCAACACTCTGGATATAATTTAAAGGCATGACAACTCTTAGTTTCATTTCACGTGTTTAAGTCAAGCCTTTTTTTACTAGTATAAGTCTACCTACAGCTTTGCTGGCAAAGAACATAGCCTATCAATCTTATATTGTATACAAGTCAAGCATGAGCATGAAACCTGCTAGTTAAATGGGAAGTTCGCTCTTTTATATGTATTTTCAAGGTTACTCTACCAAATCATTGACATAGAATTTGTACAGTTCCCTTCTCACGTATTAGTGCATGGAGAAGAATAAAATGAGAACTTATTCTAATCTTGAATATTGAAGCACAGATGCTTTCTTAAATAATCTGTAGGAACTGTGCCAAGGAAACTTAAAGTTTGAGTTTGGTACATTGCTGTACCATGAAAATGTAACAGTTCCCTTCCAATATGCTGCTCTTTTAAATTACCTAGCACCATATCCTATGTACCTTCCTGTGCAGCACCTCCATAGAAAGTTTCACGGAAATCAGTTGCAAAAATACCATTGATACAGTTGACATTAACAACTCACTTAAGATTACAGAATTGGTAGTTGAGTCTGTAAGCTGTTCTGAACATATTTTTAGAAAGAAATACTAATATTTTTGAGTACTCCAGCAACTGGGGGGGCACTATCAAAAATGAAAAAGGATCTACCAATTCCAAATTTGTTTCTCCATATAGATGCAAACAGTGGTTAATTAAATTACTTCTAACAATTTAATTACCTTTCTAACCATGCTTGAATACTATTCAAAGTCCTGAATAAAGCAGTTTCTCAATTGAAAATAGTGACTCATGCATATATAAGCAAATTAATTACTAAAATTACTATATGGCAGTCCTTAGATCTGTGTCATGTATTTTTTTTAGAAATACTTGGGTATGAAAGATATATGTATTACAGAAGTTTAGCAATTTTTACCAAAACTGTGGCTTTCTTCCCATCATTTTTTCTGTTGAGACATTCTAGTTGTCCAGTCAGAGAGCAAAAACAATGTGATCATCACATGCCAGGAATTATGAATAACAAATAGCACATAGAACCATAGAATCACAGAATGGCTTGGGTTGGAAGGGACTCCAAAGATCACAAGTTCCAAACCCACCTGCTACAGGCAGAGTTGCTAGCTGATAGATTAAGTATTAGATCAGGTTGCCCAGGGCCCCATCCAACCTGTCCTTAAAAACCTTGAGAGAAAGGGCATCCACAGTCTCCCTGGGCAACACGTTCTAGCACCTTACCACTCAGTAAAAAATTTGCCCCTGACATCTAACCTAAATCTCCCTTCCTTTAGTTTGAATCCATTTCCTTGTCGTATCACTATTTACCCATGTAAAAAGTTTATTTCCTGTTTATAAACTCCCTTTAAATATTGGACAGCTGCAATGAGGTCTTCTCACATTCTTCTCTTCTCCAGGCTGAAGTCCAGCTCCCTTACCCTATCTTCATAGGAGAGGTGTTCAAGCCTCTGATCATCTTCGTGGCCCTCCTCTGGACCCTCTCCAGCAGCTTGACATCTTTCCTGTATTGGCCCCACACATGGATGCAGATGGGGCCACATGAGGGCAGAATAGAGGGCTACTTTCGTTTCCCTCACCCTGCTGGCCACCCCTCTTCTGATGAAAGCCCTGATACCATTGACCTTTCCAGGCTGCAAGTACACGCTTCTGGCTTATTTTAAGTTTTTCATGAACCAGGATCCCTAACTCCTTCCCAGACAGGCTACTCTCAAGGATTTATTTTCCCAATTTGTATACATATCTGGGATTACCTCAACCCCAGTGCAAAACTTTGCACTTTGCTTTGTTGAACTTCATTAGGTTCACAAGGGCCCATCTTTCAAGGTCCTTCTGGATGGCAACCCTTCCTTCTGGTGTATCAGCTGCAATTGTAGCAGGTGAAGCACCATCTCTGTAAAAATTGTTCACTCAAACTATTTGCTGAATGCTTATGCATAATATATACATTCACAGAAGTCAAGGATGATTCACTTTTGACTTGTGAATAAAGAAGCAAGACTAAATTAATCATGTTTCCAATTCACTTAATAAAATTAAGATCTGCCAAAGTACTTCTGTGTGATTTATAAAGCTTTTAGGGTATCGTTTTTACAAGATTATTACTCAAGACACTACCTCTTTCCTTCTGCTGCATCACACAAGGAGATACTGTGTGGCTTTCTGGAACAGACTGACACTACTGCGTATCATTTTTAGTGAGAACATTTTCATTGACAGGGCCAGTAAAGCAGCATGTGTTTCCCCAGTTAGCCTGGAAGAGTTTGAAGCCTATTTATTTAGTCTAATTCTTATCTTGGGACAGATAGCAAGAATTGATATTAGTTTGTTCTGGAGTCTTTTTTTCTTTCTTTTTCCTTACACCTGTATCTTATTCTACAAACGTTGTGACCTATACATTTGAACAGCCTAGCAAAGTAAAACAAAAAGAAGAGAAAAAGGTCAATGAAGATATTACTTTTCTAATGCTTTCTAAAACACAAGACCAAGTATCAAAATGGCTGAGGTGACAGATGAAAATTAATTTAGACAGTTTGTGTTTGTTAATCCTGAAATATCACTCAAAGCCATACAAAGCACACCCAAGATGACTGGTGTCTTCCTTCATACATCTATGTTGAGGTCAATACAGCTAGGAACAAATTATGAGAAACATTGCCAAGAGCTCATCCCGCAACAAACTGTCTGAAATGACCAATAAATAAAATATATGTGAAGGGATTCAGAGAGACATAGTAAAGATTGTTATGTACCCGAAAAAATAGTAATGGAAAAACAGGTATTTCTTACAACTAAAGCTTGAGATGTCGGAAACCTAGAGTGCCCACACATTTTCTGGCTTTTCATTAAGAAATGGTTAGAATCATTAGAATCATTAGAATTCCTCAGGTTGGAAAAGACCTTAAAGATCATCAAGTCCAGTCACAACCTAATCATACTACCCTAACTCTAACAACCCTCTGCTAAATCATGTCCCTGAGCACCACATCCAAATGGTTTTTAAACACATTCAGGGATGGTGACTCAACCACTTCCCTGAGGAGCCTATTCCAGTGCTTAACCACCCATTCTGTAAATAAGTTTTTCCCAATATCTAAACTAAACCTCCATTAAGAATATTTAGTCAGCAGCAATAAATTATAAGGAAACTTCATATGTGGAAATACAACACCCCATTTAGCAAAGTTGTCTAAATACCTTTTAAGTCTTCTTTCAGACTTCTTTCGTTCAATAACAACTTGTTAATTAATAATAGTTATTAGAGAAAGTGTCAAGCTATTATAGAAATAACAAATTCTATTCTTCTACCAGTATGAGCATCACTACTGAAGTCAATGGATCCAATGAGTAGGAAGTTTGGCCTTCCTGATTTCCAGATTGCATATTGGCATGCATTACTGAAGTGCCTCTGAAATATGTTTAAGGTTGAAGTTTGCAATACTAATCTAAGTGGGAAAAAAAACCAAAAACACAAATTGCATGTCACATGACTAAATCCAAACAATTCATGCATTTAGAGACTAATGTTTACTTTCAGTTGGATGTTTGTTGGGTTTTTTTGTACTTACTGCTTTATATGTTCTCTTCTGTCCAGCATGTTTTCTGATTTGTTCTCCATTAGGCCCAGTTTCAACATGCATGGAATAGATAATGTCAAAGAAGTCTTCTACTACGGCTACCCGCCGTAAAGACAGCTTCTCATCTACACCTACTCCATCCTGGAAAGTAAAAAGAGAGAAGAAAAAAAAAAAATAAGGAGAGGATAAATAGGTAAATGGTGATCATCATGGGACACATTCTCCTCTTGTGACAGCAAGTTAAAAACCCTGCCATTGGGAACTGAAGGTCACCCACTCAGTGTATGACAGGAAGAGTAATGTAAAAAAGCTATATTATCAGAAGGATCAGATTATATGACACCATTCCCCGCAATCAGCTCATTTTACCAGACCAGGACATTTAGACTCTTGACAGCGACCTTTCACTCCAATATTTTAAAAATGATACAAAAAGTACCCATGCTTGTTTCTCCAAATGCACAAACAACATGCAAAAGCAGAAGCAGTTCCCACCACGTGGTACAGAAAGGCATTATGTGGCTGTTAATAAGAATCCAAGAGCTTTTATCATCTCATTCCCCTCCCAGTAAATCTGTACCTAGCATCTCATAAAGGTATTTAATAAAGGGTTCTAATTTGCAGGTGACAGAGCTGACTGTAATTATGAATACAAAGGAAGTTGTTACAAACAATTTACTGCCAGAAAATCTACTTGAAAATACACTACAGGAAGACATACCACAATATGAGGAAAAGAAAGGGACTTTTTTTTGTTTTTTGTTTTGGTTTGTTTTTTTTTTACTCAGAGGACAGATTGGAATGAGGGACAGAAAAGTGAAGACACTATCACAGTTTCTAAGCTGGAGACTTCTAAACAGAGAGAAGCCCCAGTGGCTCTGAAATTAATCACTGCCATTCAATTCATGCCTTTAAATAGGATCATCCATAAGAGGTTGGTTATTTTTTTCACAGCTGTCTATGGATTCAGTTCTAATGAAGAGGCAGGAACTGGCATTCTTGTTTTTCCAGGGCAGGCAGCTATCAAGCAGGCTATGTTTTGTAATACAAGGTAAGTATGTGAGAAATAAAATGAGAATGGCCCATTCACTTGCAATCCATCACAATTTTTAAAGTTAGATCTCAGAAGGCAACAATGTCACTTAACCTTCAAAACCTAACACATTTGATAATGTCATTACTGCTGCTGTAAATTATGCCACTAAAAAAAAAAAAAAAAAAAAAAAAAAACCCTTTTGTAACAAAGCAAATGTAACAACAGCAACTGCTATTGTGACCAAATACAGACAAAAGATGAGAAATTAAAATACAACAATTGCACACAATTCCAAGTTGCTGCCCCCACACTAATAACTTCCCAGTAATCCATTCCAGTAAGTTTGCTGGATGTGGACAGCTACTATTTTTTTTCCTCACCATTTTATTCCAGCCCACACACTTTTATTTTTCACAAAGTTCATAGAAAGAACCTAAATAATCCCAATGGCTTCAAAGGATCCCCAGGGTGGCAACGGGGCACTGACACATCACTAGCAATGACAGAGAAAATATCAGTATCTCTACAGCTAGCTTTCTACAAGTGCCTGATGGTATCAGATTAGGTGGTGTTAATACTCTACTAGCCATGCAAGCTTGTGCTGTCCTCTTCCATCATGCCCCTGCTCTTCCCAGGAGCCTTCTTCAAAGAAGTCCCCTGCCCAAAGCTAGATGCTTTCTACCATCCATTCAGCAGTCTGTGCTCCCTGTCTCAAGAAAGCTGGAATGGAGCAGAACTCCCTATGCGCGTTAAGAGGATTTCCATAGTCCTGCAAAGAAGAAGAGTGGCAGATGTGACTGTGTTGAGGATGGAGGAAAGGTGAGGAATTTACAGTCTCCACCAAAGATTAAATCCTCAGAGAGATCAGCTGGGAAGAAGAGCTCAGAGACAGCAGAGATGCTCCCATCCTCTGAAAAGTCCTTAAAATTTCACTAACCACCTGCTCAAAAATTTTGTGGCATCATGCCAGGTTCTGGTATGAGCAGCATTAAGAATTTTCTTCTTATTGCTCTTCATTGCTGTGTATTATTTAAAAAAAAAAAAAAAAAGTTTTAGCGATGGGGCCAAGACAAAATCAAGATTTTTGCTGCTTTAATCTTTAGGGGAATTCACATGTGAGTTCTGCAGGGGGCCCATCCTCTATCATTATTTTCACACCACCCAAATGGCTCAGTGGGATTCCTAATGATTTCAAATGCTCTTATTATGACGACAGTGTTATCTCATGCCACTCTCAGAACTGTCAGAAGTTTATAGTGTTGATTAACTGATAAAGACTTTATCTGCTTATTACTAATGAGTTTTGTTTTAGGAAACTTCCTGTGGGGGAGCTCTCTTTTTTAATTAAAGAAAAATCCATTACAACAATATTAATTTAAAACCTGAGATGCCACATCAGCAAAGCTGACACGTACAAACATTAGGAAAGTATTCAAAAAAGAACCTCAAGATGGAAATTCTTTCTGCTGCCATTGGTGGCCATAAGTGTACGGTGTTCTTTTTTGTCAGTCCCCCTGCCCCTCCTTCTTTGGTCTCTGAGACCCAAAGAGAGGTAAGCATGGTATGAGTGTGTTTTTCTGGTTACATTTCATTCAGCTGACTATAGCAGTAAGTATCACTGCAACTTTTAAAAATACAAGGTAGTAAAATCTGCACAAACTCTTTGTCATGCCCTTTAATTGAAATGCCAGAAAATGAATACAAACTTTGAAAATCTTGTCAGTCAGAAGTGATAGGAAAAAAAAATGGTGTACATGGAGTGGAAACTTCTTCAGGAGAGATAACACTATCACTTAGCAATTATACTTGTATTTCATCGTAAATGAATCTGGTTGGACCAGGGCAATGAATTGGTCAGGATTCATTCTGCATAGTGCTGCATAAGGTGATAAGGCAGACCTTGTTTCAGAAAGCCTGCAGTGTTAAAAAAGGTGCTGAATTGCCGTGAGTAGGCTGTTAAGTACATCTGGCAGTGCTCTGCAGAGACATAAGCTCTAACAGCAATACACCAGATAAGTAACCTGAATGAGAATGAGATAGCTATTTACTAAGACTTTAGATATCCCAGCACTGACATTTCAGCAAGCAAAAATCTGGGCAAATGTTACAACCCCAGACCTCCATTTAAACCATGATGTCTCTGAAGTGGACACAGTTGTATCAGACTTTCCTATCACATGCCATTACATTACACTTTTATCCTGAAATTGCTATTTGATAAAGACATTAACAAAGCAGGTCTTCTTTATAAGCTGGCTTTGGGTAAAATTTTCACAGTGCCTAAGGGGAAATTTTTTAGCCTCAACTAAGTCTAAAAAGAGACGAATGGGGGAATACATGATAATGCTATTCAGATGTCTGAAAGGCTATGAAATGTCCACAAGGGACAGGACAAGTAATAGGCTTAAACCACAGCAAGGGAGATTTACATTACGCATTAGGAAAAGCTCACTATTGATGTGGATAGTCAAGTACAGTAATAGTTTGCCTGGGGAGGTTTGGGGATCTCTGTCGCAGGAGGATTTTGAGACCAGGTTAGGAAAGTATCTGTCAGGAACAGTTTGAGTAAATCCTCTCTTGGATAGACCAGATATTAATTGAGTCCCTTCTTGATAACTCAATAACTGAGAAGCTCAAAGATCATTTTCAAAGTTATAAGGAGACTAACAGCTCTAGGAGAGCAGGAAAGATATTTATAAATCACTGGGGTATCTTTTTCATCAAGGCAAGAACCCAAGTCCCACTCTTGGTGTTGACTTAGGGATGCAATCTGAGATTAAAGTTGTTCAATTTTGTTTAGATATCTACACGAAGAATAATATACTTCTGGACGGTACTGATTTTACTGACAGTTATGCACCTCTCAAAAACTGCTGGGCATCCCTTTGAACAGTGATGCTTGAGGAGAAAGTCAGTCTCCTACATTGAGATGGGACCTGCAGGGCTAGCATGGGTAAAGAGAAAAAAAGATGCCAATGATGCAAAAAACTCCTAGCAAGGAGATAAAAAAGATCTATTAAACAAATAAATAAACAAATAAACAAACAAATAAATAAATAAAACCCAGAAAGCAGTCATTTTAGCAGTTAGCTGAATAAAACAAGTCTTTAAAATTAAAGCTGACCAAAAAAGGTTCTTGCTGTTTCTTGCTTGAGAACACCTGCTACATCTCATGTTGAAGTTTCTTGGGGGAAATAGGACTCAAAAACATCCTCTTGCTTCATGAGTATAACTATCAGCATCTTTACAATGTTTGAAAAATATTCCTATAAAAATGTGATAGAAGGAAATAGCAAATAAAAGAATAGGCTTGGTTGGTAGTTCTATAAAAAATGCTCAAATCTATAAAAACCACTGCTGTAAAAACATCAATGCCAGAAGCATCTACAAAACTTTAGGGGAAGATGGAAATAACAATCAACCTAAATATTTTGTCACATTACATAAATCACATGCAAATACAAGACCACTTTGATTGCTGCAATATTTGTATAACAATTTTCTGGAATATACCAGTTTGGGTTACAGAGAACATAAAGCACATTTGTGCCATCATATCTCAGCTGACTATCACGTTTTTTTGCTCTTTCGCATTTTCATTGGACTGAAAGCAGTCTTTTGCTGACTGAAGCCCTGAACCCTGAATGCCTTCTATGACCTTACAAAATTTTTTGCATGTAACCCAGCCACCTTGATAGCTTATACATAAGAAACTCCTGACATGATGGTATGCTGGTGTTTCATTTTCTTTGTAGCAAACACCAGCAACATTTGTGGTGTGTTAGGATGAACCAATAGTTTATGTGTAACATAATCCTTATATACCTGCCTGCTAAAATGTTTTACAGTAAATCATCAGATTGAAAACGCCATTATTTTTTACTGCCTTTATCTGCTTGCTCAGATGTAGCTGTAAAAATATGAAAATTTAAGAAGATTGATTACTATTTAAGAACATCTCTTGCTACTGTAGAAATGAACAAATCTACTTTCACTGGCACATTGATTTGAATTCTCAAGTTGTTAGTACACTCATTTGAATACCTAAATCTCTACTGTCTGCATCACAGAAATCTACAACAGATCAAAAACAACTATTGTTTGG